TGTGTGTGTGTGTGTGTAAATATATATAAGTGTGTTCCAAAAGTAATGCATACACTCTTTGAATCGGTATAACTTATTCAATTTATGGATTTTGACTTGTAAATAAGATTAAGACAAGAGAAAGAATATACATTTAAAGAATTTGAGAGTAAAATATTCAAAAAATTAACTTTAATAAGATAAAAGCTACTAGGGGCAATGGCAGAATTTTCATAATGATGAGTTCACATTAAGTGCTCAAACTGGTTGCCGTTCTGTTCAATACACTTTTCATATCTTGAAGAAATAAACCTATAAACGTCCAGTATCATTCCCTCTGCTATTTGAGTACATTCTTCTTCAATTGCTATTCTCATTTCAGCAATTGTTTCAGGTTTCCTGCTGTAAACTTTGTCTTTTAGAAACACCCACAAAAAAGAAATCCAAGGGTGTCAAATTTGTCCCTCTTCTTCCAATCCATCTGTTTTGCAGATTTTCATCCATATAAGTTCTCACATCACGGTAATGTGTGGCACCATGCATAATTAGAAAACTGAAAAGAGATATTCATAAATATATGATTTGTTTTTTCGGTTTGTTAACCATTTGATAATTATTTAGAGCTGAAAAATATTTGGGGTTGAGAATAATTCTTTAATTGCGTTCAGGCGATCTGGGAGAAAGAAAGAAAAGAAGAGAAGAGGAAAAAAGGAGAAAAAAAAATAATACGAAACCAGGTCGTAAGCGAAAACACACACGCTCGACTGGCACATATCAGATGTCAAAAATATCAGGTCAAGCACCTGACCTACTTCCGTGTCCGCGGAGAATGGAAGTTTAGTTATCAATTTGGTTGAAGAAATAAAATTTAGAGACAATGAAAAAAAATATGATAGGTAACAGGTGGGAAGTTTATCTAAGGATATACAGACAATCCATTAATAAAACAGAAAATTCCAGACAATTTCTAGAGCCACACAAAAATGATGAAGGTGAAATGTATTTTTTTTGAGATAATACAGATTTTTTATTATCGGCCGGAGAAAGAATGAAATATTTTGTTGCGTTCAGAGAAACGTCGACAGGTCTAAGAAATCCCTTTCTTAGATCGTATCCAATTAGCAATAGGCTGTTTGACAGATACCGCGTGTGAAGGAAGCCGAGAGCGTCATTTCGGTCACGTACGAAAAGGACAGTTTAAATTTTTGTTTTTTTAAGCAAGGTGTTTCTCCCCCAGAACAAAGCCACGGATTGTCCACGCCCGATTAAAGACGTCACGAAGGAAGGAGGAAAGATACCGACCAGAGTCTCATTGGCCGAAGGCGGTCACATGATACATGAGGGAGGAGGAGAGACACCCGACCAGGACCCCATTGGCCGAGAGCGGTCACATGATGTGCGAGGGAGGAGGAAAGATGCCCGACCAGGACCCCATTGGTCGAGAGCGGTCACCTGACATACGAAGGACCAGGGGAAGCGGGTATACGCCCCCCAGAGGCACAGTAAGGAAGTAGGAGGAAAGTAAGTTACCGAAAATGGAAAATCCCTAATCAGAAATAATACGTCTTTAGATTATCAAGAAAACCCTGGCGCCGACAGACCCACCCCAGTTTTTGACTGCCTCAATAAAAGCGGGACCCCAACCGACAGAGATCAGTTGCAGCCCGGACGGCGAGAAGGAGTTTCAGCGCGGACGGCGAGAGAGAGTTGCGCCGCGGACGGCGGGCCCGGTTCATTCGCCCCTTTGCGGGCAAGAAAGGCCGGTCCGTTTGGCCTAAGAAGAGAAATTCGCCCAACCCACGCCGAAGTGAAGAAGTTCGTCCAATCGAAGCCGAAGAGAAGAAGTTAATTCGCGCACTGACGGCGGAGATGAGTGAACAATAATTCAGACTCTGAAGAGAGTTTACTTGCAGCCACGGACGGCGAGAGAGATCAGCCGTGAACGACAGGTAGAGGTCAGCGCCCAGTGTCGAAAGCAAACCACACCCCGAAATGCAAATTTCTAGAGAGCAGGCAACTCGAAGCCTTAAAGTTGTATGGTAGAAGCTTGGTGCCACGGTCCACAGAACGGGTCGGGAGGTAGGAATAATCTTGTGTAACGAGCAAATAGATATAAAAAGTTGTTACCTTTTTCTTCAATATTTTTGACCTTGTGAGTTTTTATTTTTCTTGTGTGTTATCACCCCCGTTGGACTCAGCTTGCATACGGCCCAATCCCTGTTTGATTCCGTCTGTCTAAGATCTAATCACAGCGTGGGTAGACAGACCGGAGATCAGTGTAGTTACCCTGGTAACCAGGCGTTGGAAGCGGGTTGGGAACAACGAGGCTGGTATTCATCTAGCCAAAGGGTTAGAACGTCACACTTGGAGCAGCGAGGAGCGAACAGCTGGCGTCGCGAACGGGATCGAACGACACAGTCGACGCTGCGACCAGGGGGGACGACGTCACAAATGTATTCTTAATTATTAATACTTAAAGAGTGTACACATTATTTTGGGACACCCTGTATATTACAATCTTACGTCAATTAATTATAAAGTGTTAACAGAACTGAAACGGAGAATTTGACGATACGTTCTTTTTTTTTTTTTTCGTTTTGTTTTTCAAGCTTGATCCTCTTCTTCTGGAGCTATATAAAAAACTTTTACAACGAATGCCAAAAAATTCGTGCTGCAGTAATCAAGACTAATGGAGGATATTTTGACGAGAGGAAAGTTTAATCATAAAATGTTTTTTTTTTCTTTTGTCATAATAATTTGTTTTATATATATGAAAAATCATGTCTCACTTTTTAACCAAGTATAATAATTTTCTCTTATTTAAAGTACAAAACAACTATTTTGGAGGCTAATTCAAAAATAATTGCTAGTGGTTTCATCCCCAAACTTTTGAGCTGTAATGTATATATATATATATATATATATATATATATATATATATATATATATATATATATACACGTTTCTTGTTAATGAGCGATAAAGTTTCTTCGTTAATGAACGTCGTTCGTACGAAAATGATCAATACTTTCCTATACAACATTTCCTGTATAAATCGATGAAAAAGGCGTGTGCATATATATATATATATATATATATATATATATATAGTTACTTCAGATAATACAAATATATATTTAAGCTTACATTAATATACGTCTACAAGAACGTACTGAAAATGATCTTGGCCAGACTCACTGTCAAAAATCTGGATAAATGTTATCCCTTCTTAGTAGGGTAAAGAATTGTATCCCTTGGTGTATCTCTTCAATATACAATTGTATGTTTAGATCGGTATAGTCATTCGTTTCTACGGCTTATAAACCCTTTGCAGATTATTTAAAGCCAGATAATATTTTTAGAGTGCAACAATTTGTTTTGGAGATGATAATGATTTAGTGATACAAGTCTTTACTAATTAACCCATAGCTGGGGGAGAAGAGGTAGACACATACCTAAACAGAATCTGATTAAGAAACAAAAAATTATAATGCAGATATAAAGTGGGGGTTCACTTCTATATTGTAATTAATATATAAACTGATCCTCCATTTTATGACCACTATAGTTTCTAAACAGTTATATTCTAGAGAATGGAAATAAATCTAAAAGAGCTGCCTGTGTTGTTAATCAGTATTTCAGTGTTTAATTGATTTGTTTTTTATGGCTTATCAACCCTTTGGATGTTATTTAAAGCCAGAAAATATTTTTTTTAGTTGGGGTAGAGGATGTCGATCCATACCTAATCAGAATCTGATAAACAAACAAGAAATTATAATGCGGATATATAGTGGGGGATCATTCATGTATCATAATCAATATATAAACTGATCCCTCACTTTATGGCCACTCGTTTCTATACATTTATATTACAGAGAATGGAAATAAGTCTAAAAGAAATGTCTGAGTAGCTAATCAATATTTCAGTCATTGATTGATTCGTTTTTTTACGGTTTATCAACCCTTTGAACGTGACCTTAATGGTGATAATCATCAGAATACGTAGAATCGTGTTGATCATTAGCTTTTCCTTTACACGAGCGTACGCATTTAGATTAATTGCAAGACTTTATTTGAAAAATTATCCGATGTTATATATATATATATATATATATATATATATATATATATATGTCTGAATGTGATGTTTTATTATATTCTCAAGTTAACATCACATAATTTCCTTTTTCATCTTTATGACATGTTCAATATCAAAGATCGTTAATTAATGTTTTTCTTTATTTGTATGTTAAGCGATAATCGAGAGCTAGTATTTCATAATGTCCCCTTCCTGAGAATTTCGCTTTGTCTTCATTTTGTCCTCCTCAGACTGTCGGGATTAATATCCGCTTTCCCTTATTTTGTTCTTGCCTGTCGACGAAATAGCCCGCCCGTTGTTCCGGCTGCTAATCATAGCAAAATTGCAGCAAAGGATTTACTTACAAAAAGATATTATTTCAAAAGGATTTTACAAGAATCACCTTAAAAAAAGACATCTTTCAGATTTTTTTTTTTTTTAAACTTGTTAGAGAGAATTAATCCTCAATACTTTTCAGCAGAATACGTCATCCAAGAAAATATGCTTTCGCTTGTATTTTTAACACACATTTGTAAATACATGAAGGTCAATAAACTGCATGAACGGAATGAAGTGACACACAGACAACAAAATGGACTCTGCACAATTGTCTCACTCTTTATTCACTCCTAGTGATTATTTGTCAAATCTAATTAATCATTAGTCTTGGACACATACAATTCTACTCATGCATATACATTCTCTGTCTCTCCTCACTATTTCTCTCTCTCTCCCTCTCCCTCTTTCTCTTTCTCTCTTTATCACTCTTTTTCTCTTTGTCTCTCCCACTTCCTTTCTCTTTTTCTCTTTCTTTCTCTCTTTTTTCACTCTCTTTCTATCTACATCTTTCTCTCTCTCTTTCTCTTTCTCCCTTTATATATATATATCTCTCTTTCTCTATTTTTATTGCATATATGCATACGTGCGAGATTCACAGGTGTACCTCACTTGACAAGTTCATTAGAGAGGGAAGGACAAATGGTGAGTGGACAGAGAAAGAAAAGATACGAGAAGCTGGAAAAGAAACCAAATTGTCATTGCTTCATTATGAATATTAAAATTACGTCACGATTCAGATCTCTGTCTCTAGTGATGGTGGTGGTGATGATGATGATGCTGGTGGTGGTGGTGGTTGTGGTCGTGGTGGTGAAAAGGAGGAGGGGTGAAAAGGAGGAGGGGTAAAAAAAAGGAAAAAAAGGAAGAAAGCTCTGACTATGAACAGGCATATGAAGAGAAGAAGGCTCTAGTGTAGCATTGCTCAGAAGGAAAAGGAAAGAAAAAAATAGACAATAGACAGAAAGAGAAGGAGAATAGAAGACAAAGGAGAAAAAGAAGAAGAGAAAGAAAAGATTAAAGACAAAGAAAAAGAAGAGAGAAAGAATAATAGAAAGGGAATAAAAAGAAAAGGAATAAAAAGAATAGAGGTAAAAAAAGAAAAAGAAAAAGAAAAATAAGAAGAAAAAGAAAAATAAAAAGAAGAAAAAAGATGAAAAAGAAAAGAAAGAAAAGAAAAATGATATGAGAAAGTAAAAGAAACAAAAGAAAAGAAAAGAAGAAAAAGAAGAGAAACAAAAAAGAGGAAAGAGAAGGAAAAAGAGCAATAATTATCATCAGCAAAAAGAATTGTATTTAGCAGCTATATTTTAATTAATGAAATTGTCTTAATTAGATTTTTCATATTAATTACATGTAATTGCGTTGTGGAATATTTAAATTTATTTCTGTACTAGAAGGCAAAACATCAATTCTGATACATGTCCTATTGAATCAGTTTGGATGCACGTATTTCTCCGCGTTCCACATCTTCATTCATAAAAAAAAATAACTTTTTTTTTTATGAATGAAGCTACAAATCCAACCATGCGTATACAACTGTATAAAAATTCCTTTTTTACGTCAGGTGTTCATTGGGCTTCGTAAGGCGAATTCATTTTTTCAATCCAACAGAAAAGTAGACTTTTCAGATTTGCATGAACGTTTCATTCCTTACTATGCACTAAACCAGGTGGTTTTCTAAAGTAGCATTTACTATAATAAAAAGTCGGGGATCGGTTCCTGATGTTTTTGTAAAGCAAAAGTAATCCCCCTCTTAATATCCACTTGTTTCTTAATCTGATACAAATTATTTACACGCATCACAGAGTCATATTGGGCTGCAAATATATTTTCTAAAGTAGAATTTACTATGACAAAAAGTCGGGGAACAGTTTATGATATGCTAGTATGACAAAAATGATCCCCCACTTAATATACACGGGAAACAGCTCCTTTTTTTTTAGTAAGTCACAGCAATTTACATATATTAAGAAAGTCGAGGCTGTTGCGTTCACATTTCAAAAAAGGCTCTTGGTAAAGGCACATATTTCTAATTCATGTCTCAGTTCTTGATAAATGGTAGGGCAGACTGAACTGTCTAGTCTTGATAGAAAAAACATTCGAGCTGAATTTGTAAACACTGAATTTGTGTGTTTCTACTGTCTACATTGATGATAAACACTGACATCTCGAGAAAAAAACAAAAGGAATCACAAAAAGAAAAACAACAATAATAAAACGGAAATGAAATTCTTCAGACAGTTTCATTAACTTATCTGCAGTTTTTTTTGTCATTGTCTTTTCAGAATGTTAGATTTTCAGGAACAGGAATCTTTTATCGGAAATTCTTCTTTCCGTTAAATGACTTGAATATAGTTTACGATATCTGATTTAGAGGTTCATCCCTACTTATAATATGAGTAGAAAAATTCACAAACCGCCATTTTCTGAGTTATAAACTGGATAGGCAGACGAAATTTTTATTTTTATTTAAAGGGAAACTGCTAAAGACATTTATACACATATAATATTCGCCTGAATGTGTGCGTCTCAATCTTTATAGTTGCGGAATCAAGTTCCAATCGAAGTTGTTTCCTTTAGTTCGTAATGAAGTCCTTGATAAAGACATAAATTCATTTCTTCTCGCAGCGCAGTGGATAAATAGTAAGGATAGGGACTTGAACTCTCTAGACAAGGAGACCGCTTAATCCAAAAAGGCAATATAAAAGCATTCCACTATCATTCCCAGGAATATTCATAGCAAATCAAAGATATTAAAGAATGATGATCGTTTATTTCCTGAAGGAGCATGGGAATTTAATAATATCTATTTAGGTACCTACTTTATATACACAAAAGAGAAAATTTTCTTTGCCAGCGCGTTTCGTCCGTGAGGACTTGTTAACGTCTCTCAGGGGGCGAAACGTGATACGAAAGAAAAGTTCCCCTTTTGAATTTATTCATAAACTGACGTGCCAAAAAATTTAATGAAAGTTGCCTTTTAACGTGTAGATCGTCACATTCTTTGAATATCGGCGGCTACATGACGTAGTCAGGTTTCTATCAAATACTAAAGTAGCTGTGTAGATACATCTATACAGGTAAATTTTAGTTTGAATTTAGGGTCATTTCGAAATATTCAGTTAGGTTTTAATCTGCCCAAACAAGGACCATTGAATAACGAGAAACGAGCAGTAATTTATTATCATTCAGGCAAGATGAGATGTTTCATTATTATCGCAACACTTGTCATGACTCTATTTGTGGACCTGGCGAAAACCAACACCCATATTTTATATATATATATATATATATATATATATATATATATATATATATATATATATATATATATATATATATGTTTGTATAATTAGGCAACAATCCTTCGTTTATGCAAGTTTCATTAAAACAACAGACAAGGTACTATGGTTAAGATTTTTATTCAATTTTTCTTGTTTTCGAACAAAAGCTTTGTTTTCTGGATAAAAGGTGTGTAAAAACTGTCCAAATTTTTTATATTTCCGAGCGCTTTCGGCTATAACCATTACCAAACTCCATAAGAAACATACTAATAGAAAACACAAATATATTAACTACATTCACCTGTAGAAAAAATTAAAAATAATGGAAGCTTTAATAATGAAAAAAGGAAAAAACAAATCTTAACAATATTAACTACGAACAAGGCCACAATGTGCTAACCGTATTCGGAAATTAAAACATCCCTACTACACACTAAGACATACACAGAATGCACAAACTCAATTAAACTGAAAAATTGAATCATCCTTGATAATGGCTAAAGGTATAGCCGAAAGTGCTCGGAAGTATAAAACATTTGAACAGTTTTTACACACTCTTTGTCCAGAAAAGAAAGCTTTTGTTTGAACACAAGAAGAATTAAATAAAAAGCTCAACTGTAGTACTTTGTCTGTCGTTTTTTAATAAAACACACACACACACATACATACATACATATATATATATATATATATATATATATATATATATATATATATATATATATCCGTTCGTTTATTTTATGATGTTCTGCGATTGATCTAGAAAAATGATCTTTCGTGTCAATTTTCTTTCTTCGTTCTTTCTTCATTTACTCCCTTCAGATGACTCCCATTTTCGATCGCTTTCTATCAGTTTGAGGGGTGATTCGTTCAACAACGAAGTAGAGCTTAAAACGTCGAGACATTTAACAGTTAGTGGATCGTTGCGCCTAGTGGTATAAGGCACGTCAGATCTAATGACAGTTCCCCCCCCCCAGGGGATTCAGGTTCGAATCCTGTCGGTGGGCGCATATTTTTCTAACAAGATTTCCCGAATATTAATGCCGGTAGACGTAAATAAATACTGTTTAATAAATAAATAAATAAAAATAGAGCATCTACTCAAATATGAGTATCCATTTAAAAAATAACGTTTAAACAAATTAAAAATCTGTCGGATTTAATCTATTTCCTAATATATATATATATATATATATATATATATGTGTGTGTGTGCGTGTGTGTGTGTGTGTGTTACAGCATTTTTTGAGTTTGTCCGCTTTAGTATTATCTTTTAAAACTTTTATTTTATTCTAGAATCATCGACATTTGTCATGCATATCCAGCGGGAATAAAAAGTTTCTTTTCTGTATCACTGCCACCCAACCGCCATTGTTGATATTTTCCTTCTCGTTGAACGCATTACGTGAGATATTAAAGAAAACGTCTCCACCTTTTTTTTCGGTCATAGATCGTTTCAATATTATCACAAGCAAAGTACGGCATCTAAATCACAGACACGTAGAAGATCTTCATATGTTGACAGAGACAGAGGGACAGATAAATAGATTTAGACAGACTGAGATAGACATCAACAAGCTAAAATCCAGATATACAGATATGCTTATGGTAAGTGTAATATTAGCTGTTTCCTTATAAGGAAACAATTGGCATTTATTGACCGAGCGACTATTTCTAATTTCGCCTAAAATCTATAAAATCTTTCACGCTGCTACTCTCGTTCAAAAGACCGGGAGAACGCAAAGAAAAAACAAGAAAATGTAGTAACAGCAACAAAAAATAAAATTATCAATAATAAATAATAAAAATGTAACACTATAAATAACCCCAAAACTGCATTCTGATCCGCAATTATTCCCACTCATTAGACCCAAGAATAATTCGAAACACAACCGTTATCTCCCACAAAAATAACTTAGAATAACAGAATAGACTACTGACAATGAAACACAATAGGCTACACACAATGCATCACTGTCCTGCATATATAAATGGTCGAGCAAAAACACAAGACAGATGGCCTTGCGATTGCATTTAGCATGAAACAGAATGTTGTCTATGAGTGTTGACTTCAATGTACAAACAAACACACAATATATATATATATATATATATATATATATATATATATATATATATACGTGCGTGTGTGTGTGTTGATATTGTTTAAAATTTTCTATATTTGTAGGGGACGAGTACTCAGAATTCGGGATAAAGCTTTTATAGATATAAACAGCGTGAACATAGGAATCTATAGTGTATGGTGACTGTCAGTTTTTCGCCTCAATAAGATCTTTAAACCAATTACACTTCGGATAAAAATCGCATTAAGGCATGAACCCGATAATCACTATGTTGTACTAATTCCTTTATCACACTATCTATCTATCTATCTATCTATCTATCTATCTATCTATCAATGTCAGTCTGTTGCTATCTATCTATCTATCTATCTATTTATCTATCTATCTATCTATCCCAGTCTGTTCATATCTATCTATTTAAATTTGTTTAGTATTTTCTCTATTCACCTCAATATCTTTCACATTCGCTCATATCGTCTTGGCTCTTTCTCTCTGTGTGTATTTCTATCTGTGTCTATCCCTCTTTTTGTCAGTATATATATATATATATATATATATATAGAGAGAGAGAGAGAGATAGAGAGAGAGAGAGAGAGAGATAGAGAAGAGAGATCTATCTATCTATCTATAACTACAGCACTTCCGGTGTAATGGTTAGCAAGCTTGTCTTGATCAGTTACTACTGAGTAGTGAATTCGATCCTCACTGGGTCACTTAGTATGTCGATCTATCTATCCCACAGAGAGTGTGTGTGTATGTGTATGTGTGTGTTTGTGTGTGTGTGTGAAAGTGAGAGAATTAAAGATATAAGAATTCTTTCTGTATATATATATATATATATATATATATATATAGAGAGAGAGAGAGAGAGAGAGAGAGAGTGTGTGTGTGTGTGTGTGTGTGTGTCAAAATGGGACAATGAAAGATATAAGAACTCTTTCTCTCTCTCTCTCTCTCTCTCTCTCTCTCTCTCTCTTTGTGTATATATATACACTCTTGTGTGTGTGTGTATATATATATATATATATATATATATGGAGAAAGAGATAGAGAAATTTATAAAAGACAGATTTAGAGGCTCTCTCTCTCTCTCTCTCTCTGTATACACACACACACACACACACACATATATATATATATATATATATATATATATATATATATATCCCTCTTTTGTACAAGTTTCATTAATAACGACTGATAAGTTACTGCGGTTAACTTTTTATTTAATTTTTCTTGTGTTCTTATAATTTTCTTTTTTTTTTTGTAGTAATTGTCCGAAAGTAACACATACACACACTCACATGCATCTGTGTGTGTGTGTGTGTGTGTGTGTGTGTGTGTGTGTGCGTGCGTGAGTCTATATGTGAGTGTGTACGAAGAGGTTCTTAACTGTTCCCAGTGTCACCAAAAATGGGTTCGAAAAAAAAATTCTGATCTTTGGTCATTTGGTCAGATATTGCGAAATGGGATCATGTCGATAACTTTTCAGCCTGCCATCTCCTCCTCTGTGCATTGTACGTATGTAATTTTTAATTATATTCATACATATATGCGCCCAACTCATTATATCTATAAGACAAACATGCACCGTGTCTATTTATCGTAGTATTTTGATGCTTTCCTTCCTCCTTCCCCCGTTCTTCTCCCCGTCGAGTGCCAGACGAGCTATCCCACCCACACCTCCATGTCAAGACCGAATTCGCACGGGATATATTTTTCAGAGCAAGGGAATTATCTAATTTCCTGGGTTCGGTTCATGGCAGTACAATGTTGACGGTGCAGCTAGGCGAGGTCTTGCCTACGGGATAACGTAGCTATCGTTTTTAATACTTTTCTCACCATTACGTTTTTTGTTTACGTCGCAGCGAATGAAAAAATAAAAAATTAACCACCGACTAAATCTTAGCCCACACTTAAACAACAACTAAGCTGGCTATTACTAATGAAATTTGACTTCGATTCTCACTAGGTCCGCCACATTTGGGCTCTATTTCTTAAATAAACCAATCTCAGAAAATGGCTTTAACGACAACAGACCAGTAAGAATAATGGATGAAGCGATCAAAGGACCATCATCTCATATTCAAGATTATAATTATTACGTAATAAAAATTCAAGTTTAAATGAAATATTACAGATACATAGCATTTTCATTGGGTGATGAGATTTATTGTAAATTAATACAATTATAACACAAGGCCGAAAAGTGAGACTGGTTTGAGGCTGGTCTTCACTAACTTTCTTATACCTTGCTAATCGGATTCACGACCAATTCACTCCTAACAATTTCCTCATTCACCATAAAAATTCATCCATCGTCAATCAGTCCTCCATACACCATAATACCACATCCTCTCAGGTTGGGGATTTAGAAAAAAAAACAACCAAAAACATTCCAATGAGATGATAAATATTATTTACAATTTTTATAATTTTTTATTTTATTTTATAAATCGGATGAATAATCATGAAAGTGGGGAGGGGGTGAATCCCAAAACAAACTAAATATCAAACCTTAGTAAAAATTATTTTCATTGGGTGATATGTGACATAGTGGCGATGTTATTTTCCTGAGTATGCCGGGGCGTACAACGGCCGAAACAGCCTTTATCTACTGTGCCATGTCTTCTCAAGGACACATGGCCCAGTGGATAAAGGCATTGGTTAGATGCAGTGACTAGACCCAAAGAGTTGTGACGTCAATACCAGGCTACAGCATTGGTAAATCAAAAACTTGGAGAATTGAGTTACAGAGAAATAACTGAAAGAGTCGAAAACGCATGGCACGTGGAACTAGAGAAATCCACCCCGATAAAGGGTTCTGTTCGAACTTCCAATCACCTGAAAAAGGCCGGAGTGCACAACTGCCGAAACATTGTAAATATGGCAATCAAGATGAGGATTGCAGTCTGAATAATGTAAATAATGCAAGTAATCATGATACCTCATCTCAGGTATATAGAGACCGAAACGTTGTGGATATGTCAATGAAGATGAGGATAACAGTCCGAATAATGTAAATAATGTAAGTAACCATGACACCTGATCTCAGAGATCCAGTCACCTGAGGAAGGCCGGAGCTTAAAACGGCCGAAACATTGTGACTATGGCAATGAAGATTAGGATAATAGTCCGAATAATATAAATAATGTAAGTAATCATAATACCTCATCTCAGAGATATAGAGGCCGAAACATTGTGATTATTGCAATGAAGATTAGGATAACAGTCCGAATAATGTAAATAATATAAGTAATCATAATACCTCATCTCAAAGATATAGACAAATAAACAAATACACTATTGTCAAAATATTGAAAAATCAATAATTTTGGAAAACAGACACGATTGATTATGTAAACTGGTAAAAGGTTCTGCGTTGTTCGTTTTATGGGGAGATTAGTTGATAATATTGTTAAATTCAAAGAACTGTGTGCTGTGGATGATTCAGCTACTATAAAAAATGATTTATATTGTGGAAGACTATAGACAAACGCTGCTAAAAAAAGTCCGTGTTGAAGTCTGCTTAGGAGAATAGTACAAACATCCAGCGTTTTAGGATATCACGCTCACAATCAGATGAAATAAAAATCAACAAATTTGAGTCTAATGGTATCTAACGAATCAGATATCGACATGGCGAGGCGTTCAAGGATAAGCGTAAAATCTTGAGTAAAAAGTCTGTTTTCTGGTGTTATATGAACCCCAGTTTCACAAGTGGGGTGAGTTTCCTCGGCGTAATAATGGATACTGAAGCTTATTACAATATATCTTGATTGTAAATAGATTGCCGTCACTCGAGGACTTCGGCAGAAAAACCGTATTTTACTATGAAAAAATCTAAAAGATTCCGCCAAGAAAACAGAAGTTCTGAAGAAGCAATAGGGTTAAAAGAGTTCGTTTTGGTGAACATGTAACCGAATTTAAATCGAAACGAGTAATTGAGGAACGAAACGAAAACTAAAACAACGAAGAAAATGAAAATTATTTTGTGACCGTTTTCGCAATTCTAGTGAAGACAAACTCGGCAAAATTACAAGCACTAATAGAAAATAAAGGTGGTCACACCAGATATTGATTTTTAGATATTTTCTTTTTGTTCGAGTGTATTTATTTGTAGCCGGCATATTTTTAGCATCACAATTTAAAAGCTTGAGAGTTTGGTCATAAACAATACCTGATAATATCTGTTTTGACGATATAATTTCGAGTTAGAATAAATTTATCTATGGCTTAAAAACATCTTAGGGGTGTAATCTTTCATGGATGACGGGATAATTAACAGAGTTCTGATCTGAACAATAAGAGTAGGCCATCACGTAAGTATCGAACTCACATGAACGAATGTCCTAGCGAGACAATCTCGCGAGCTAGCCATCTGTGATAATCATCATCATCATTGTTAGGACGATCGTCATAACAAGGGAAATAACTCATTCCCTAGATGGGAACCAAGTTATGCCCCTTGATGAGAACTCTCTAGGAAGGAGAAGAAAAAGGGATTTCAAGATGGCGAACACGCATTCCCACATGTTTCAAAGAGAATTATTAATCTACCTTTAATGCACAGGTCATTGTTTACATTTATTGTTATCCAATAGTGTATAAAATGTATAAAGGTCTGAATTGTGTGTTCGTTCTTATAATCAGCATCATGGAGTACCGAATGCTCGGAATCTTACGTCTTTTTCCGCAAACAACTTCACGATTATCTATCGCACTTGATAAGTCTTTAGGTTAGCATTCTCCGTTCTCATACATTTCCTGAATGTATATTTTCAATGACCGACAAGTATTTTCGTGTCCAGGACAGAACGTTACCAGTGTTACTTCTCCAGAAATGTTTTCTCCTCTCCCTAATGTCCTGTGAGATGTGAACTAGATGGCTATAGAGCTGTCTATTTTTTTTTTTTTTTTGTAAGGTGATGTTTCCAGGATAGAAGCCTCGTAGTATACGCGGCACCTGCCATCTTTTCCAGTCGCTTTGTTAATGTCAAACTGCCAGAGAGAAAGACATAGAGCTATGGTTTGGAAAACGTTTTCTTTCATTTTATCCAGTAAAGTAGATTTACGGATTCTTGACTGCTCGTCTTTGCAACGCAATATTTGGAAAAGGGAGATAATCACGTCGCTTTTTAGACGATGTTACTTCCAAGACCAATGAACTGTTCCATTTAATGTCTTGTCTGAAAGGCAACTGAAAGAGACTTGTTGATTAAACGACGTAAAGAACAAATCTTCATGTTCTTTTCATTGGACTCTGCAATAAAGATTCAATAGAAGTGATATTTTATCTGCAAAGTATGCAACGTCATTGGCATGGTTTCTTTTTTTTAATCGTCATCACTTCATGCAAGGCAATAAAGCCACTAAGAAGACTCAAGGAGTTACAGGGTGTGGAAGATTTAGGAAACAAACATTAATAATGAACGGGGAGAGGAAAGAGCAATCACGATGAGAATAGATAGCGATTTACATTGCGTTTAAACTTTTGAAGATTAAAGTTGCCTGGAAAGCATGGAGCCGGAAGGGGCTTCCACAAGCAAGGCAATAAAGCTACTAAGACACAAATAGTTACAGGGTGTGGAAGATTTAGGAACAGAAACATTACTACTAAACAGGAAGATGAAAGAGCAATCTGGTGGACAACAGATAGCGATTGACATTCTGTTTAAATTTTCGAAGATTAAAGTTGACTGGAAAGCATGGAGCCGGAAGGGAGTTACACAAACGAGAAGTGCGAGAGAAGAAACTGTTAGCATAGAACTTACGACTACATCTAGTCAGTTCAACGGTAACTTGATGAAATCTTGACGCTAGTCGAGGACTACGCTTAAATTCAAAATCTCTAGGTACCATAGCGAAGATGTCATTCGAACAATTATCCTGAAAATATTTATAAAAATACACAGAGAGGCAACATTAGGGCGGCGGGAAAGTGACTGAAGCCGAGACGCCAGATCAGGACCAATAATATTGCAGATTTTGGATTTTACTAAGGAGCTCAAGGGAAATAGCAGGGACACTGGACCATATGTAGCAGCAATATTCTAAACATGGACGAATAGTAGACTTATGGATATGTAAGATAGATTCTGGGGCGGGGGGAACCATTGCCTTGCACGAAGCAAATATGCGCGACTTTGTTCTAAGTCGGTTGTCCATTAATGTTAATGTGTTTGTTTGAATCAGAAATGGTTTACAGATATTTTTTTTTAAAAAAAGAGGGAAAAAGAAGCTTAATGATTTTTAAAAATCTAGAGGAGAAAGAATGCAAATTGCTTCAACGACTACAATGATAAAATTTGTTGAACTAATTGTTATTTCTATGTAATTTTCATGCTTTTGAGTTTTATATTTTAGTCATCTTTTCTTTATATGTTTATTAAACCATTTCATTCGATTCAGTTTATTTTGAAATTTTCTACTTCTAAGTGATTTATAAATAAACCCCCCCTTTTATCAGCGGGTCTTTGATGTCAACATTTTCGTGCCACCATTCAAGGAAATAGCACCTCCTACTGTCGTCAGGCAGATCTACTTGCTTTAGTTTCTAATCTTCAGTGTTTCAATTTCTGAAACCACGCCTTTCAGAAGTTCACAATATTTTTGTTATTGATTTATTATCATTCTTTTTAATTTCCACCGTTTTTTTTTGTTTTTGTTTTTGTTTTTTTTACTGTCCTTCCGATTAAATTCATCCTCTTCCGAATACTTTCAAAGCAATCAAACCTTAACTCATCAGATCTGTTTCTAAGTTGATCACACCGAAGCGCGAGGGTTCCGAAGATTCTCTGCTACAAGTAGACCAATGTTTCCTAATCATTTGAAACCGTGCTCACGAAGACAATTTTTTTCCTAAAGGCTGTTCCAATAACTTAGATCGATTTTAAATGTGAATTAAGTTTAAGCGTCGTCTAATGATTATTTTTCTTTTACTTTCAGATTTGGTGGATATTTGGGCGATATTATTTTTCACACATAATTGCCATGATTTAAATAACATGATCCAATAGAGAAATAAATCAAATTTCACAAATAACACTGATTTATTTACTACTGACTTTGATCCGTCTTAATGAAACACCCTTTCTTATATGTCCATTTTGTTTCCAATTTCTCTAGAACTTTGTCGTTGTTCACATATTTCGTTCACGGTATTCTCACCTGAAATCAAGAGTGGTACAAGGCCAAAATTTAGGGTTAATATGATTTTGTTTATTGATTGATTTTTCTTATCAACCCCTTGCAGGTTATTCAAAGAGAGAAAACATTTTTAGATTTAAAGGGTGTTCTAATAACTTGGACCGATTTTAAATGTAAATAAAGTTTAAGCGTCTAAAGACTTTTTTTTCTTTTTCTTTCAGATTTGGCGGACATTTGGGCGATATTAGTTTTTCACCCATGATTGCCATGATTTAAATAACATGATCCAATAGAGAAATAAATAAATTTTCACCAATAACACTGATTCATTTACTGCTGATTTTGATCCGTCTTAATGAAACACCCTTTACTTGAAAGGTTGAAAATATTTATGAAAATATACAAAGGCAACATTACGGCGGTGGGAAAGTGAATGAAGCCGAGCTGCCAGATCAGGATCAATAATATTGCTGATTCGTCTTTGGATATTATCAAGAATCCCAAGACAAATATCAACGGCACCGAACCATATTTTTTCATTGACTTTTATCCAAATATACATTTTAATAAATTTGACATTAATTTAAAAACATACATCGATATTTTTGTGTGTATCACAACATGTCAGTCATATAAAAAAAACAGCAATGACAGGAATAAAGAATAAACGATACTGTGATTTTGTTGGATTGCGAATTTTTATACATTTATCAATATTTTATTGATGATGGCTATTTGCTTGTTCCACAATCTCAAAGACGAATTATCTTCCATCATTTTTTCCTTTGATTTCTAGTGTCTACACATTTCTTTCCGGGTCCCTACAAGAGACCTAAGGTTAGAGATCGCTTCTTTACATCTTCCACTATAAAAAAAAACAAAAAAAAACAAAAGATAAAAAAATAAACCACAAACATATTTTACATAGAAAAAGCCCTTCGTAAGATGTGGGATGTACTCGTCAAAACAAATTTTTTGTATTTCTTTATGGCATGGACTTCCAGGAATCCCTTCAATTAGTCTACTGGAATCTTTTTCCAACCAATCCGAGTGCTCCAACTACAAGGACTGTTGATGATCCCATTTGCCACATTTTTCAGATTATTATTATTATTACTATTATTATTATTGTTGTTGTTGTTGTTGTTATTGTTGTGGCCTGTTTAGGGGCCAGAAAGAAAGACACGGAAGACGAAAGTAGGTTGAAAAATGTATATACAAAACAATAGTGTTAGTAATAAGTAGATTAGCATTGCGTCTACTACACTTCGTCTATCCAACTCTCGCAGTTTGTATTTATGAGAGGAGGAAGAGTTCATTTTACTGTAGGAGAGTTTACCACGACAGTTATTATTATTATTATTATTATTATATTGCAGCACTTTTCGGATTGTTTCCATCCCTCGTCTAACTGCGTTGCCCGCACAACGTTCATTCTACTCTATATGCTCTGCAAGATGTTTGACAACACCCTTGGGCGTCACGATAACTATTCCTGAATACCATTGAAAAAAATTTGGATATGATGGGACTACGCCTGACTCGTTCTGTTAGACCACCTGCAACTCTTGCTGCATCGCGTCAGCAGAAGCAAAAACATGAAATATCTCGAAAGATGGATTCACTCTCTATAGGATGCAATTGAGATTACAGCTATTTACTAATGCCCTATAAGGAAATAAAGTGTATTAATATGATATACTGAAGATACACTTCATTTTTCATTTAAATATATTAATCTATATAGGTGATTATTTATTGTAATCTAAGTGTTTTACCTGCACGTTGAATAACAACTAAAATGCAATATATATATTATTTGAGCAGCAACCTTTATTTAAACATGTCGCTGTAGGAGAGGCCCCTTTATATAAAACATCTGGCACCTAGTATAATTCTCACCTTATTCAATAGCGTAAATGGTGTGTTAAAGGTTTAAAAAAAAAATAGGGGAACGCCTACTCAAAATCCTACCGCGCTTAAATCGCGAAGAGAATCTAGGAATAAACGCTTCTACTAGAATTCAAATAAAAAATAGATTTTAATAGTCAAACATGAAAAGAAATTAACAACACCTAAAAAGGGAACCCCTTGAAAATGGCTACAGAAGTGGCCCAAAGCGTCTGGGACAATGAACATACGAACAATTTTTACACTCTCTACCCCCACCAAACGGAAAAATATGAGACTGTTGAAAAACTAAATAAAAAATTAATCAAATTTTCCTTGCCTACCATATTCAACGAAACACACACACACACACACACACACACACACACTTATATATATATATATATATATATATATATATATATACTTGTGTATTTAGGCAGCAATCCTTCATTGATGCACATTTCATTGAATACGACAGACAAGATGCTTCGATCTTGTTTTTTATACAATTTCTCATGCGATCTAATAATTCTTTTCTTTTCAGATGATAAATTATATAAAAACTACAAATAATTGTATCTATAAAAAGAATGTATAAACGTAAAAATGCCTCAAAATAATTGTCGGACTTTGTTCATTTCATAATGTGTGACGTCATTTGTTTACATTTGATACGCCATGAGCAGATATGAATGTACGGGAGAGATTCATAGAAGATTGAAGATTAAAGGCAGTACATTCGACCTTGCTAACCGAACGTTCCTCTGTAGCCAAATCGGTTAAGAGCACGTCAGGCTAAATGACAGTACCGTATATATATATATATATATATATATATATATATATATATATATATATATTATGACATTTTTATGTTTATACATTCTTTTTATAGATATAAATATTTAAGTAAATGCTCTGTTTATAATAAACATTATTAAACATTTACCGGTCTGAATGTCCGAGAAATTTTCTTCTCTTTATCTTCAGTTTATAATGTCTACTCTGTATCCGTGTCCTCACGATATCTTCATTGTATAATGTCAGAATAGCCTTATACAATGCCAAGATATTTTAAAATATTTCTCTACTAGTACTACTATTTGAAATATATTCGGTAGGCAATTACGAAAATTATTTTTTTTTTAAATCTTCCACAAGATTAAATTTTGAATTGCTCCATAATGAACACACTAACCGTTAGAATTCGAGTTGGCTTCATTACTTTTCGCTTACCCTCAAATACATTTAGGAAATACATTAGGTTGGTGCAAAAATAATGAACGTAATAATGTCGTTTTTCGACGTTACGTCAAAAACGACATTATTACGTCATTATTTTTGCACCAACCTAATATTAATCCAGCTCTTCTCTTCCGAGTTATGGGTAAAGAGCAGAACAGACTGAGTCCTATAGCCTTGGATAAATTAATTCTAAGCGCAGTTTTTTTTTTTTTTTTATTACCATGAGTTGGTTTTTCTTAGATTCATAATTCATGGCGTTGAAATACTATCATAATCACGAGAACCGTAACACATCTAGGTTTTAGTACTACGCGTACCGCATCAGTAGAAGAAGTGGTGTCACTTGGACAAGGTAGCCTGACGAAAATCACACCTCTCCAGGCTGGATTGAATTTAAATTTTTCATTCTCCTAGACTATTCACTAAATAAGACTCAGTCTTTCCTGCTATAGCTGGAAGAAGAAGAACTAGATTAATACCTTTTTCCCAAGTGTATTTGAACGTAAGTGAAAAGTAATGTACTCGACTAGAATTCGAACTCATCTCACCGATTTCTCAACCCGAGACCATATCCATTGCTCCACCGCATCTCCAGAAGTACTTTATTGCCTCTCCCCCAAACTAATATTATTTACAATTAACTCTTGTCTGCGGTCCGTTAAATTCTCCTCTAAAACTCATAGCGTTATTCGCCGTCCATCGTCCGAGCAATAAGTCTTCTGTCTTTGAAGTGAAATTCGCTTTCTTTCTCGCCTAATTAATCGTGTGATCATCTGACCATAGCTTTTTAGGAATGAAAGCGACTGTATTGTTCTTTCGTTTTCCAAAAGCTTGGTCATTCATCTTGAAGATGGCAACGACTAGCTTCCAGGTAAAGAAATGAATAGATAGAAAAAAAAATCACTACGAAAAAGGTCAAATGTCAATTGCAAATATGAAAGGCTAAATTCTATTAGATGTAAAAATTATTGATTGCAACAATATCAATATTCGCCTATTATTTCTTCATTAATATAGATATAATCTCTTCGTGTGTGGGCGTGTATGTAAATGTCTATAGAGGTAGGTAGATAGACACTTGACTGTCTATAGCCCAACCTGTATTCTTCCTAGACATTCCTCATCTATTCACACGCAGGAGGTTTAGACATGCTGCTATGGGATTGTGGCTTCGTTGGGTGTGTGCGCACGGGTGAGCGTCTATGTGTGTACAGTAAAGGTCAGACTAAAAAAAAACAAAGTAAAACACGCTGAGATAAATAAGAGTCGAGACTGGTTGATTGATAAATTCATAGACATGAATATCAAAATATAGACTTTCAAACACATAATTATGAATATCCAATTGTTTATATCTATCTATCTATCTATCTATCTATCTATCTATCTCCAGTATGTTCATATCTATCTGTCTTCAATTGTTCATATCTATCTATCTATCTATCTATCTATCTATCTATCTATCGTATGTTCATATGTTCTATCTATCTATCTATCTATCTATCTATCTATCTATCTATCTATCTATCTATTAAGTTGTAGTATTTGTTACTGTCCCATCTATGAGCAAATTCTTACCCCCACGAAACAAAAACAAGTCCCATGAAAGTATAAAAAACATTTCTATAATAAAAATAACAGAAATATATTTATATATATATATATATATATATATATATATATATATATATATATATATATATGAAATTACAATAATAATACCTGTTTATAGTAAAGTTACCAACAATTCATCAATCAAGGTGAAAGAACTCTTTTATGACATTAATCCATATAATATCCTACAATTTCTTAAGCCAAACTATTCCAAAATATAACTTCAACAAAACCACAACATAAAACACACATATTAGCGCCTCTAGTGATCCTGTCCGCACAAACATGTAAAGTGGCCTAAGCAAAGTTTTGATGATGTCAGTGAGTTGCAGGTTTCATGCAGTTAGTGCAAGTAAGGGTTATGCAACCAAATATTAAATGTTATTTACTTTAAGATGATCTGTTCCTTTGCTTTTTGCTCACCTAAATATGGGCTGATCTGAGACAAATGGTGGTATGTCCTAAGCTGTTTAAGACAAAGTGATGGAATGGCCAAAATGTGGAACAAGATGGCTTCTGCTTATGATACAAAGTATACAGGGTCATCTGTGAAGCATAGAGAAGGCAATGTCTTATCTTGGGATTTCATAGCTGCTACTGCAACAGGCTAATTTACATTTATTGATGATGCAACTCGTGATGGTAACAACAGAAGGAATTCAAAAATCTACATTTTGTTGGTCAACTTACAGAGAAATGCATCGAAACTAATCGGATGGAAGTTTATCATGAAGCAGGACAATAACCCAAGATATACAGTGGCATAAGAAAAGGTTTTAGCCAGGAAAAATAAACTACATCCAATTTCAAAATTTAATTACGTAATCCAATCTTAACATAAATAAACAGTATTTGGAATTAGTATAGAGTAGTTCCTCCATTTGCTACTTTCAGTGCTTGTATTCGATTATTCATGGATTTGATCAAGTTATCAACAATCGTCTGATCCATGTTTTGCCATTCCTTTGGCAATGTTTCTTTAACGCTTTCCACTGACGCGATTTTAGTTGCACGCTCTCGAAGTTTTCGGTGACGGTGCTCCCAAACTTGCTCTATTGGATTTATGTCAGGGTTTTGGGCTACTCATCTCAGAGACTTGATTTCTTGTGATTCCTTCCAGGCCTTTGCGCTCCATTTTCTTGAAAAATGTACACATTCTTGTCAATCTGATTGGTTTCAAATAATAGGAGTAGTCCTTTCTCTAATATTTGACAGTATTTTGGACCATTCAACTGCTCGTTAATAACAATCAACTCAGATTTCTTTCCAAACCAGACAGCCCCCGACACCATTACTCCAATCCCTCCATCTTTTCATGGTGGCCCGCTGAAATTCAGTATTTCAAGTCTCATTCTGATTTCTCCAAACATAAACCTGTCTCGAATTCGAATATTACCAGAATTCACTTTCATCTGATCAAATTACAGACTGTCAAAATTCATAAGCTTTGCTCTCGAATTCTCTCGCCCACTCCATACGCCTGTTCCTATTAACCTCCAAAATCAAAGGATTCTTTCCTAAATCTCTTCTTTGAGAGCCTAACTCTTTCAGAGTCTTTCTCACTACTTATGGCGCCATTTCCATGTTGGTGGCGACATCTTTGACGCTCTGACGACGGTTTCTGATGACTTCCCTCTTCGGCGCCCTTTTCTTTCCCTAACATACGATTCTTGGTCACCTGAACGTTGATGATTAACCTGAGAAAAAAAAACTAGCAATTTCTCTATTTGATTTGCCACACTGATACCATCCAATTATTTGCCTTTTTTTAAAATCACCAATTTTCTTACTTCCACGAACTTTCATTGCAAAATATAAGTCAACTATCGTTCATAGATGAGGGTAGCTTGATACTAACACGTCATTATCTTAAAAAAAAAAAGAAATGTTATTAAACAAGCCAAAATTGCTGTAATCGAGGGTGGCTAAAAGCTTATCATAGGCTACTGTATAAGCAGAAAAGCTCATCTACCACGTATTCAACTATGAAAGTAGTATAACGAGCATCATTTTTTATCACTTCAAAACTCCCAAGAAAATTTCGGCATGAAATGACCCATTAAGAATTGATATTCCATCAAACAAATCAAATCAAATAGATGTATCTACAGTCTGTTTCTTTCTTTTTTTTCTTTCTTTCTTTCTTTTTTTTCTATCTATCTATCTATCCCAGTCTTTTTATATCTATCTATCTATCTATCTATCTATCTATCTATCTATCTATCTATAATCCAGTCTGTTCATATCTATGTATCTATCTATTTATCTTAGTTTTTTAAATACTGATGTTCACCCAATACAACGTTTTACCTTTCTATATTTCTGAGATGAAGTATTATATACACTATTTACATTATTCGGACTATTGTCCTCATCTCTGTCGCCATATTAATTACAACGTTTCGGCCGTTGTATGCTCCGGCCTTCTTCAGTTGTTTGGAATATCGAACTGAACCCTTTATTTCGCTCACTGGGGTAGACTGTTCTAGTTTCACGTGCCATGTCTAATGGATGTCAGTTATCTCCTGTTAATTCCCCTCTCCAAGTTCTCCACTATGTGACGTCCCTCTCCACAGCCTTCTCTTCCCCTCGTTGCTTCGTTTGGGTGTCGCCGCTCCAAACGTGACGTCCGCCTGTCTGCGTCAGTCGTGTTGTCGCGTCCTGTGACGACCAACTGGCTTGGTATCGGTCGCAGCACCCAAATGTGACGTTCTAACCTTTTGGTGATTCGGATGGGAATCTGGTCAGATCCGATATCAGCCTCGTCGTTCCCAACTCGCTTCCAATGTCTGGTTACCAAAGTAACTGCATTGATCTCTAGTCCGCCTACCCACGTTGTGAATTGATCTTAGGCAGACGAAATCAATCAGTCGTTGGGGCCGTAATGCAAATTGAGTTCAAACGAGGGTGATATCACACAAATACGCATAAAATAAAATAAAATGATAACTCAAATGTTCAAGGTATCAAAAAAAAGGATAACAATACTTTATATCTGGTTGCTGAATACATAGGACTGCGTCTATCTCCCGACCCGCTATATGGATTGTGACACGTTGTTTTTGTTGGGTGAGTTTTAACATCTTAAGTTGTCTGTTCTTTAAGAAATTGGTTCTTGGTGTGTCTTCAGGCGAAAGTCGAAAAACTTATTTTGGTGGTATGGATCTAAGTCGCTCTTCAAAATAAATTGTTCTTGGATTGAAGATGAGTTCGGAAGTTGCGCGAATCTTTAGTCAGCTGATGCGAGGCCTGCTTCAACTGAGCGATCTGGAGACTCTGGAATGAACTCTTCTGATCTCTGGATTGAACTGATTTTTTTCTCGCTGCGACTTTTATATGGACGCCGACCAAAACCGGGGTGGGTTTGTCGGGGTTGGAGGTTCCTCGATAATTCTAAATCCATATCCACTTTTTTTTATTTTTGGTTAGGAATTTTCCACTCCTTTCCATTTTTGGAAGTCTTCTATTACTCCATCTTCTCTTATTCTCATATGGATATCTCACCATTTTTTTAGAGGGGCGTCAACGGTATTTCCCCACTTCTTCGTAGCAACTTCTCATACCTATCCTCTAAATGGGCGGCGGCATTTTCCCTCCTTGCGTCACGTGATCACCTCCGCCAATTCGGCCAAGTAATTCCATTCCGGGTGGTGTGATCCGGCTGGCTTTGTTTTAGGAAAAAAAAATATATCTTGCTAAAAAAAAAATTATTTTTTTTTTTTTTTTCTTTTCATTTCTTTCCTTAATCGCAGCTGGTGTGATAACCCCAATGTCACCTGGGATCTATTCCTTTTTGCCAATTATCAAATGGGGTAGTCGTCTAGCGAAACACAGTTGACTGTCGTCTCGAAAAAACAGTTCCAAAAATTATGTATTTGCATTCTTGGTGCCAATTTCTGATAACATTTTATTATCACAACCGAATTCTAACAAACCCATAGATACAGCAAAAAAACGGCCAAGACGTGACCCAGGGTTGGCATTCGTGTGCGGTTTGACCATTTAATCTTTTCCCGACAATATTGTTTGCCCCTTTGACACAGTTAATTTTTCTTATATATCCAAAGCTCTGTATTCACCTGTTTTTGTCAGACAGTTCTACGACACTGGTGGTCAAAATTTTCACCATCTTTCCATTATCAAAATAAAATTGTCGAATTGCCTCGGAGTTTTTAGCTAGTCGGTCTGTGGTTTGTTAATTAGATGTTCGCCAGCATTAAGTGGCTGTTATCTATCCCCGATAACACAAGTCCGCCACCAGAATATAGTCGATTTTCTTATCCATTTAGAATTACAAACCAATGGTAATGAAACCTTTCACCATTTGCTACTTATCAAAATAACATTGTCAATGTTTTTGGTCGTGGGCTTTTTTTTTATCATCTAAGCTTAAGTCTCGCCTCTCTTTTCCTTTCTTTCCTTTCTTTTTTCCTTTTTTCTTTTTGTGCCCTTAAATGGTGTCTCAACTGTCTTAACCAAGTATTGAATTCACACTCTTTGGGTTCTATCACTGGATCTAACTAACACCTTTATCTACTGTGCCATGTGCCCTGATAACTTCTGGACTCCCAGATTGTTTGGAGGTGCACCAATAAACTGCTGTATCATCCCCATAGAAGCTCATTAATGAGTGGAGTCAGTTTTTAAGCAGTAGACAGAGAGTAGGACGAAAGAGGGAACCCTGTTTAAAAGGGACATTGATCTTATGGTTTTCCGATGACTGGCCATTAACAACTGCCTTCAGGGACCTACCTGCTAGGAAGGATTTGATAATTGAGAGATCTCTTCCAGGGATTCAATAACTGGAGGGTTTACGTTGTAAGCCCCATTTCTACTCCTTGTAAATTGCTGATATAACTAGGGCAATGGTCTCATGATTAATTTATTGTTTAGAGGCTCGCTGATTATATGAGTAATGGCAGTTAAGGCACCGGCTGTAAATCTAGCAGGGGGGATATTCATACTGGTTATCAGTCAATTGTTACTGTTCAGGTGCAGTCCTGGGTATGACGATAAACTACATCCGGCAGCAATCGGTATATTTTGAGGAGCATGGAACCCCTCTTTGTTTCCAGGTTCACCCTGACCCGGAGTGGTAGCACCTATTAGGGCTCTAGTTATGGTCAAATAGTGAAACCCCAAACAAAAACAAAGCACTATGAAAGTATAAAATTACATTTTTATAGTAAAAATACTTTTTTAGAATAAAACATTACCAGCAATACCTTGTTATATTAAAAACATTATCAACGATATCTATATATATAGTAAAATTATTAACAATATTATGACGTCGTCTCCCGGTCGCAGCGCCAACTGTGACGTTCTATCCTGATCTACCACGGCGCCAGTTGTGACGTCCCTAAACAGCACCAAATCTTCGCCGCGGCGTCAGCTGTTCGCTCCTCGCTGCTCCGTCCGGTGTCGCTGCTCCAAACGTGACGTTCTAACCCTTTGGTGATTCGGGTAGGAATCTGGTTAGATTGATACCAGCCTCGCCGTTCCCAACCTGCTTCCAACGCCTGGTTACCAAGGTAACTGCACTGATCTCTAGTCTGCCTACCCACGTTGTGAATTGATCTTAGACAGACGAGATCAAACAGGGTTTGGGGCCGTAATGCAAGCTGAGTTCAACGGGGGTGATAACACACAAATATGTATAAAAGAAAATAAAATGAAAACTCACAAAGTTCAAAGTATCAAGGAAAAAGGTAACAAACTTTTTATGTCTAGTTGTTCGGTACATAGGACTGTGTCTACCTCTGACCCGTTCTGTGGATTGTGGCACGACGCTTTCGCTAGGCAAATTTTAACGCTTCAAGTTGTCTGCTCTCTAAGAAATTTGTGTTTCGGTGTGTCTTTGGACGAAAGTCGAAAACTTATTTCTGTGGTCTGGTTCTAAGTCGCTCTTCAAACTACTTGTTCTTGGTTGAAGAAGAGTCCAAAATTTTGCGTGAATCTGGTCAGCTATCTTGAGGCGGTTTCAACACTGGGCATATTTTCTCTGCCGTCCGAGGCTGAACTAACTCTGCCTGCCAGAGTCCAACGAACTTCTTCTAATTTCTGCCGTCGGTGGGGCTGAACTCTTCTTCATCTCTACCGCCAGGGCCGAACGAACTTATTCTCGCCAGCTTGTCGAACGAACTTTTCTCTCCAGAGTCTGAACGAATAAAAACTCATCTCTGCCGTCGGTGCGCGAACTTCTTCTCTCCAGAGTCTGAACTCTTTCTATCTGCCGTCCGGGTCTGAACTAAAACTTCAATGCACTCAGGGCCAAACGAACTGGCCTCTTCTGTCCGCTTGGGGCGAACGAACTCCGCCCGCCGTCCGGGGCTGAACTGATTTCTGTCTGGTGGGGCTTCGTTTTTATTGACGCCGTCAAAACTGGGGTGGGTCTGTCAGCGCCAGGGGTTCTTCGATATTTCTAAATACGTATCCACCCTTCTTATTTCTGGTTAGGGATTTTCCACTCTTTTCCATTTTTGGTAACTCTTTTTTCTCACTCCCACTCTCTCACCATGCTTCTGAGGGGGCGTGAACTGCCCTCCCCCTTCTTCGTATCGGCTTCTCATACTTATACTCTGGATAGGGGCGTCGACTGATTTTCTTCGTGCGTCACGTGACCACTCTCGGCCAATGAGGTCCTGGTCAGGTATCTTTCCTCCTCCTTCGTGCGTCATGTGATCCCTTGGCCAATGACGTTTTAGTCGGGCGTGAACAACCCGTGGCTTTGTTTTGGAAAAAAAAAATACCTTGCTTAAAAAAAAAAAATTAATTAAATCGCCGTTATCATGAGCGGTTGATGTGACAACTCTCGGTTTCAACACGTGGCGTTTGTCAAGCAGTTTATCGCCAATTCACTGGACAGCTGGATTATCTGACATGGTCTAAGAAAGGAATTTTTCCAAAGTTTCCAAATTTAATTTGGCGTCTCCAAAGCAGAAATAAAAATATTTCAGTTTCCTTCGGCTCATGTGTTGATAACAAAAATTTTTATTATCGCAGGGCAAAAGTCTATTCTGTCAAAAATAAAAAACTTAGCCAGTGAAAACTACTTGTGTGGGATTTTAATTTTCCATACCCAGTCAAGACTGCAAGTTACATCTGCGTTTTGTCCATTATCAAAATCTAACGTTTTCAAAATGGATTTCTTAATTGGTGACATCTATTGATAACACAATTCCATTTTTCGCGGATAAGCGGAAATCGGTCAACGCTTATTCGTAGGTGACCTAGATATTTTCGACATTTGATACCTATCAACAATAATCTTTTTTTCCTTATTTCCGTCTCTTAAGCTGTGTGTGTGTGTGTGTTCGCCTATGACCCGTCTCGTATTACTTTTTTCTTTCTTTCTTCTTCGTTTTCTCTTTTTTTCTCCCAAATCGCCTGAATGCATGGCGGTTCAATCCTCTTAAAAAAAAAAAAAAAAGAATTATTCTTAAAACCTAAAAATACATTTTCGGCCTTAAATAATCCTCAAATGGTTGATAAACCGTAAAAAAGCAAATCATATATCTATAAATATATCTTTCAAATCGTCAGGATGCATGGTGCCACAATATATTCTTGAAGGAAAATGACAAACAATACATTTTATCTGTTGTTGGAGCCATGAAATTGCGTTCAAAATATTTCGATTTCCGTATTAAATGACCCATAGAGGTGTTGATATGCCGCTGAACAAAATTAACCAACCTGCTTACTTGATGATTATAGTTTCGATGAGTAAGCTGCTGAGACAAAGGAGGTTAATGGGTTGATATTGTGGAAGGCATGAACGCACACTCCTTTTCTTAAAAACAGGGCCTACACTTGACACTTTCCATAGACTTGGAAAGTATCACTATTTCATGCATGGGTTAAACAGTTTTGCCAGTATTTGAGATACTGATATTCTTAAGAAATACCACTGGGATATTGTACTGACCGATGGCTTTCTTAGAGTTACGTGTTTTGACAAGTCAGGAAAAATGGCGCGCTGTGTTAGAGATATATTTTACGTTCTGTGAAGAGGGGGGTAGTCAGTTAAGGATGTTCTTGATGTTCTAATGTAGAGTTAAACATACATTTCATTTCTTTGTCATAAGAGGATGTAATAACTTCGGGGTCATTTGTGATATCAGGAACAGACGGTTTGACCTCGACTGTGAATTTTATTCGAGATTTTCTTGAACTCGCAGGAATCAAATCTTTTGTTTTCAAGCTTAACTTTGACTGGCTGAACATAGCAGGGTTTAATAGAATCTCGCTTGCAATGATTGCAATTCAGAATGCCCCAAGACTCTCGCTAAACAATTATCATATTCTATCTGTCTATCTATCTATCTCATTCTATTCATTATCTATCTATCCATCTCTCTCAGACTCTTCTTTAACTATCTATCTATCTATGTCTGTTCATTATCTATCTATCTAGCTATCTAGCTAGCTATCTCAGTCTATTCTTTATCAATCTATCCATCTATTTCAGACACTTCATTATCTATCTATCTATCTATCTATCTATCTATCTAATTCTTATTCATTATCTATCAATCGATCTCAGTCACTCCATTATCTATCTATCTCGGACTTCTTTATATATCTATCTATCGATCTATCTCTGTGTGTCCATATCTATATATCTATCGACCTCAGTCTGTTCCTCATCTATCTATCTATATATCTGTCTATCAATCTCAGCCTGTTCATATCTATCTATCTATCTATCTATCTATCTATCTATCTCTTCATTATCTACCTATCTATCGACCTCAATTTCGCCATTATCTATCTATCTATCTATCTATCTATCTATCTATCTATCTCTTCATTATCTATCTATCTATCTATCTATCTCAGTTTCGCCATTATCTATCTATCTCAATATTTTTTTCTAATTCGTCTAGGTTGTCATGAACGCATTTTTATATCAGATAAGTCTTCATCCACAAACACATCTTAGTAACAAAACAATACCGCAAATATTTTCATGCTATTGCGTATGTTAACCGGGTTCTTTTTTCACTCGAGATATATATATATATATATTTATATATGTGTGTGTGTGTGTGTGTGTGTGTGTGTGTGTGTGTGTGTTCATTTTCTTCTTTCAATCGTTTATCGTTCAGTTCTCGCCTTTTCCCTGACGTGTCCTGCAGCAAATATGGCGGACTAACATAGCGACAGTCAATTAAATCAGTGGAGGCAGGGGGAAACATTTCGCTGCCGGTTGTTTAATTATCAGAGCTAATCACCATTCTGCTCGGGACGCAAAACACTGCATATACTTTTTTCACACTTTCATTCAGACACATATTTGTGAGAGTCCTGATATGCCCGCACGCACGCACACACACGCACACACACATACACACACACACATATATATATATACATGCATATATGTCTATATAAATATATATATATATATACATATATAAATAAATATATATATAATATATATATATATATATATATATATATATATATATCATAAATATATATATATATATATATATATATATATATATATATATATATATATATATATATATATATATATATATATATATATATATATATATATATATATATATATATGTATGTATGAAAATATCATCATAGAAGTTCGCCTAGAACTCTGGAGCTACGCTTTTGTGTTCATATTGTTTCTGTTCAAACGTGTTGATGCGTAAGTGCATATCCATGATACGTTTTTCAGTTTACACTCACATATTTTCTACTTTAAATATACGGGTGTCTGCAAATGAGTGCGTTGTCTACGTATATAAAGAGAAGTGGTTAGCCTACAAATTTCGCGCGGTTGAAAGACTCGGCGTTTCATATGTGATTCCAGACAAATTGTAAGAATCGTGGAAAAAAAATGCAGTAAGAATTTGCTAAACAAACACTTTCGCTGATCGTCATCAAAACATGAATAATTAAAGAACTCTCCCCAAATATGCCTTACACATACACAGTGAAAACTTTCTTTTTGTTTCATGGAAATATATATATATATATATATATATATATATATATATATATATATTACCAAAAGCCAATGCACCAGAATTACAAAAAGACAAAGTAGTAAAAGAAAAATCATACACTGATATATAAAACCAATCGATATAAATAAATTCATTAAATTTATTATTTACTACAAAAATTAAAATCTAACAACTTAATTATTAAAGATAATATATTTCAAATTTTCAAGCCCCTATATAAGACTAATTTTCTGTCTATAAATATACTTACCAACTTGTAAAAAAACAAAAGTTAAACCGCAGACATAGGGTATACCACAACCACACTCTCACGGAGACTCACCTGCCACCTATCGAACCAGAGTGCCATCAGATTACACATTAATAAGCAGCATAAGGATAATTAGATAGCTACTAGAAACAATACACCAACATACTAGTAAAATCAAACAGTAAAAACAAACTTATGATCCTTGAAGCATTATTCATACAACAAAAACAAACATCAATAAATAAAAACAATTCAAACTTAAGAGCCCACATCCTTAAATGGATACTAAAAAACATACACACGTCATATTTCGCTTACGTCACAACACTCTTTGCGTACGTCACAACACTCACGAAGTTCTGCGAAACTCACCAATCGTCTCTACCTGGCCTGATGATGACGTATGGAAGTTGGAAACTCGAAGCATATTTCTTGTATTTTTCTTCCGCAATGGACTTCGGACAATTTCTGACGGAATTATTCATAATTTAGGGAAGTACAACTGTAAAATTAATCTCCATAAAATGTCTGTTGTGTTTAATAATATTTCACTCAAAGGACATTTGCTGTATATATATATATATATATATATATATATATATATATATATATATATATGATGGGCGCTCCCGTCGATTTCGACGTATGAGGATCCGACAACCTGATTTAGTTTTTATGTTTGTGCCGTATGTGACATTTCATTCCCGCTAATGACCAGCATACAAATCCACGTACAACCGAAGATCTTGAGACATAACCAAATATATACACCCTTGTGCAAATTAATTGAAACAACCGCTTAAGTTTCCTTTCTTTCACTATATGATCAGTTTTAGAGACATTGGAGTGAAAGGGTGTAAGCGATTTCTATTTTCACTCAGATTAGTTCATTTGCAATGGAGTGCAGCAGTATGAATCTATTTTCAGTGTGTATGAGGAAATTTGTTTGCCGTTGGAAAATATTGCGTCATCCGTGATTGCATCAAATTTTTATCACGCCCAGATATCATTGTCTCGATTGTCGATTAGTTGTCCTACGATTATTGTCTTCGATGAACGTTACTCCAAGAAAACGTAGGAAAATTGTAACGCCTTACCAGTGATCAAATCAAAGTACTACAGACTGTCCCGGAAACCTTCCTGATTTAAATCCAACCGAGAATCTTTGGTCAGTCAGCAAGGAATGACTTCGAGAAATGGACAACGAAGTACTAACATGTGCACTGGGTCATGTTCCATTGGAAAAATACGAAAAAATGTAAATAATAACGGAATGATTCGTTTTATTTCAATTAATTTGCACACGGGTGTATATGGGAGATATTATTAAAAGCAACAAACATTTTGTGACGATTAATTTTAATGATCGACTTTTCCAAATTGCGAATAATCATTCTCTGTCGGAAATTGTCCCTGGCTTAGACCATATTGCTTCTACTTTTCTTCCGAAGCGAACTTCGAACAATTTCTGGTTGAATTTCCTCTTTCTCTAAGATAGACTTTTCGCAATTTGGAAAAGTCGATCATTAAAATTATTTGATGCAAAATTGCTGTTGTTTTTAAGACTATTTGGCATATATATATATATATATATATATATATATATATATATATATATATATATATATATGATTAATGCGAGTAAAATTTGTCATTTAGCTGACTGATGTTACCTTCAGCATCCCGACTTCGAAGTTTGGCAGACGGACCTATTCTGCTTATATTCTTTCTTTTATGCACATTTAGCACTGGTATAAATTTTCTTCTGTATTCTCCGTTTGTTTTGCACGGATGTGAGTCTTGAACATATATATATATATATATATATATATATATATATATATATATATATATATATATATATTCTAGGACAGTCTATAGTACTTTTGATTTGATCACTCGTAAGGCTTGCCAGAGGGATTGTGCAGTATTATAATTTTTTGGAGTAACGTCCATCGCAGACAACTAATCGACAGTAGAGACAATAGTGCCTGGCCGTGATGAAAAACCAAAACAGCGCTTCAGGATGAAACTGCCACCCAGTGTTTAAGTTTTAATATTGGAATTAAAATTAAATACTGCTGACCAGTTTCGAAACATAGTAATTTCTGTGTCGCGATGGAATCATATTTTTTTTAAATTATTATAATCTAGGCTCTACTTATGTATCGGGAACTGTTTTTTTTTTTTTTTTCAAATAAAAACAAAAGTACTAAAGAACTTCGGATCATCAAACTAACAGTTCTTCCCTATTATATCAACACACACACACACACACACACATATATATATATATATATATATATATATATATATGATTATGGACATAATCAAAAGAAGTATCTGCAGTATTATAGGTCACAACCTGTCATCTCGTCTTCAGTCACTTTCCTATCACTGAAACTTATTTTCTCTCTAACATCCATGAATTTCACTATAACACTAGATTGGTAGTTTGATTTTATCATTTTACTATTATGTAAATTCTATTCTAATAATTTATTCTATTGCACATCTTGCTTATTGCACTTTCTTACAGTTTCTTACTTTCATGTCAAGTACAATCTGCAGAAATTTACTGCAATATAAATGGTCATCTTTCCTCTCAATAGAAATACATAAATTAGAATGGAAGGCACAACTCTATTGGCCAATGTTAAAAATAAAACCGTCAACTTTCCTGGTTTATCTAGATCAATGTTGTTTTTTCAACCTGGGCGATATCATCAACCGGTGGGCAATTTCAACTGTTGGGTGGTCGATGAACAACTGAACAGAAAATGGTGGCCGATTGGAAATATTGTTGAGCGATATACGATTTTAAATGTCAAAAAGTTAATTCAACACATGCTACTCGAAAAAATATTCAAGAGAGATATTTCAAAGGAGATTTATAAAAAAAACCCAAAAAAAAAAACTAATTGGGAATAACTGGGTCACATTCCGAGATAAAATAGAAATATCTCTACGAACAACGAATATTTTAGTATAAAATTTTCTATTTTCTATCGTTTCGAGAAGGGTCAATAACATTCAAATACTTCTTCAGACGAAATAACATCTTTTTCGGATATAAATCTGACTAGGGAAGACCAATAACAACAAAAAGTATTCCTTGGATCTTTATTACTTGCTAGTATTGTATATTCGTTTTCATTTTATAATTATGAACAAAAACCGTTTAATTTTTTTGTCAACACTAGCCGTAATCATAAAACTAAATTATATATATATATATATATATATATATATATATATATATATATATATGCACAGTAATAGATAGATAGATAGATAGATAGATAGATAGATAGATAGATAGATAGAAAATATATAGAAAATACACATATATATATATATATATATAGTCTTCCATGGGCAAGTTTGCTTTCGTTTGTTCTTTAGTACACTAGTAGCAGCAGCATCATAAGTCGCCGTTATTTGTTACCCCCCTTTTGTATTTTTTAACCCTAGAACACTTACCATGGGTATATAATACCCAGCGCAAATTTTCCTAGTTTTAATTACTATTTTCAGTACCTGATTTTCTTACCTAAATAATACGTTTTTCAGTTCCTATTATTAGTACGGTGGTATCTGCCACACAGAGGTTACCGACTATTTTGTGTTAGGAAGAATAACGTGTCTTAGCCTTCCAGTAGCACACCGGTACTAATATTAGCATTAGTGTAGCCATTGAAACACTAACACTGAATACGAATATAGAAAGCAAACAACGCACGTACATATGATGAAAAGATTTACTTATGTCCCAAAACAAATGATTGTCCATATTGTCCCCGAGGAGGTTTACAGAACGAGAACAAAGAAATAACATACGAGCTATATGGCCTTTGATCGTCCGCAGATAAGTGAATAGAAATTACTTCTTTTCTTTAGCTAGGTCGTGCACATCCTGAGGCTAATGGTTTAGTGGAACGGTTTCATCGTACACTTAAATCAGCTTTAAGGGCCGTGACGGATCAGGCAAATTGGCTGGAGCATCTACCGTTGGTTCCTCTGGGACTCTGCACTGCGGTTAAAGACGGTCTTAAATGTTCATCTGCTGAGATAGTTTATGGCACCACACTTGACCTCGTTCGTTGATCGGCTGACTGCGAGAATGGCAAATTTTGCATATAAGTCTTCTGCACAGGTTCAAAGGCAGATATATGTACCTAAACTACTGCAGACATGCACACATGTTTTTGTGCGGGACTTGCCTAAGCCCCACACATTGCAGCCAGCCTACAGAGGACCCTTCAAAGTTCTTGAGAGACATTCGAAATATTTTATGGTGAGCGTTAACAATGCAACACAAAGCATCACTGTTGACAGATTAAAACCTGCCTTTTTGGACACTACCTGGCTCAGCATGGACACTTCAGTGACTACTCCATCACCAGTATCACCTGGGGTAGTGAAAGAGACTGTGACCAGATCTGACCGTCGTGTTAGATGGCCCAAACATTTATTGACATAAGTCATTTTCCGGTTTTGGGTTCAGCAGAACCATAACTGGAGGATATTTCTACCTCCACATCAAATTCTTCCTTTTTCATTCGATTGCAAAACCATTTTTCTTTAAATTTGTAATACATGTTGTGAAGTTTTGTTTTTGTTACATTTTAGTTGTACCTCTGATGCAGGTTAATGAACCTGTCTAGGGAGGTTGTACTTGTAGGGAGATCACAGTTGTTTTCCATTGGGTTGAGCTCATGGGAGTTTGGCCCTTTTTAGAGAGTAGAACTCTTCTGTCCCTTTTTGTCTTTGCTTTTGTTCTTGGAGGAGTGGACTCTTTACCTTCCTGACCACCAGGGTGTCCACACACGTGGAAACTGGTCAACATGTGTACGGCCTAGCGAAAGAAAAAAGTACTTTCTATTCTCTCCAGCGAAGGGGAAGAAAACTCGACCTCTTCCACCATCACGTGAAGGTCAAAATTTACTTCGCGACAATGTTTCGGTTTCTTTCTTTAATTTTTTTTTTTTGGGGGGGGGTGGATTTTATAAGAATAAATTTGGCAAATTAGGGAAATCAGACACCCTTAAAATGGTTTTTCCCTCACATCAGTGAATGTGATACAGATTAATTTGCTTCTGCCAGAGGGCCCCATCTAGAGTTGAATACCCTTCACATTGGTGATGCCCTGATGACCGGCCTGTATCTAAACGGATGCACCCTACACTCAGCATGTGGTGGACCCTCTTTTCTTCCTTGAGTTTCAGATCCCGAGTTTAGAGGAATGACATGTATTATATAATTGCATCGCTACCTCGTTTACCATATAAAGCTTTTATATAAAGTACAGTGTATGTGCGTGTGTGTCCAAGCAACTCGAAAAGTTAGGCTCAGGGAACGATTTTTGTTGAGCTCAGATTCAGGGTGGCCAGATTATGCGAGGTTAAAAATGTATATTAATATATTATACTAGCCATTATTGTTGCTTTCATGGTTCAATGATAGTGACTCTTATTTTCTTTTTGTATCCAAAATTGCAGCTAGCTTAATATCTTAAGCTAGCTCCTGTGGAGGACTCTTAGTTTGGCTATCATCACAATACCTAAGGAGAAGTAAATACGATAGACATCAATATACTACAGAAGAACTCAAAATTGTTCGCTGCATTTAAGTATTGAATTAATGTTTAAGCTTACGTTTTCAAAGTTCAACCATAATTCTTCTGCTTGCTGTCACTTAATTTTAAAACGATTTGATGCACGTAGATCCTTATTTTCCATACAAACAATTATTTTCATTTCATGAGTGACAAAACAGGGGACAATTTATAAGATAAAATTAATATAGTGTAAAGATGGGAAAATAAAAATTAGAATTAGTTATACATTCAACATTTGAAGAGTTAGAGAAACATAATAGCTAATTAAGTAAAACCTATGGAATCTATATGAATAAATGCGAAATTGGAGCTCAATTCTCTCACAAATTCTGAGATTAAAAAGTCCCAGCTCTACTTTATAGTAATTTACACGCAAAAAGCTCAATATCTGTAATATATATTATCTACTTCTAGGCAATATCACTCTTCAGGTTTAACTAATTTCATATTAATTTTTTTAAATTTATTTCCTTAATTGACTAATTAATTTTTTTCCAAACAAATCAGCTTATTTAAATTTCATCGCTTGGTTTGTGAAACTGAACCAATGTAGAGTGTGTAAACCTCGGCAAAAATGTTAACTACTAAATATTGTGAGGATTTTTAAAAAAAATTCTAGTATATATATATATAAATTCTGCTTTTGGAGTGAAGTTGAGACCCAATAGAACCTCATTGAGAATATAACTGTTCACAATAACCAAGAAAACTATCTGTTTGGCGAAGATGAAATTATGGCTATCGAAATACTGACAATCCAGATATTTCCTTATTGTTAGGTCAGAGGAGAGACTGACATACAAGGCTTCAATCATCTTCGTTTTTGGGAAGCGCTATTGTCTGCATAGGCCTTTTTTGTAATGACCTGGGAATGCTCGTAGGTAGATCGTTCGTATAAAGCAGAAAGAGGGTAAGACCGCATAAGGAACTTTAGAGAATGCCTGTATCGATCGAAAACTGGCATCAATCTTCAGGGGCCTATCTGAGAGAAAGGACCCGTTTCGTGTCTTCGAAACCATTATCATGGACTTTCCTGCCGAATTTATGTTCTTGAATTTTTTTAGCCAAAGGGAATTCGAGGGCTACTATGGCGTAGATTGTTGATTGATCTCCGGGTCATACAGCTGCAATCACTTTTCATCAAAGGTGACGGGTATTTCAAAAACATCATCATTAGATCTATGAAAATGCTGACAATTTAAGAGATATTTAATTGCTATCATACCTGATTGGCATTCAAATATTTTATCACCCACTTGACCGACTGATGAATTATATGTCCAAACACATTCCTTGTATATTTCTAGCGTTACAGCGATTCTTTTGGCCGAGGTTCGTTGACTGACCAAAATTAAGTCATGCTTGATTGATTGATTTGTTTTTTTTTACGGTTTATCAACCTGTTTGCAGTTTATTTGAAGCGTAAAACATTTTTATATTGTAAAGAATTTCTTTTGGAGGTAATAAATATGTACCTATAAAAGTCCTACTAATTAACATATAGCTTGGGGGAGAAGAGGTGGATTCAATACCTTTCCCAAGCGTATTTGCGTGCAAATGAATATAACAAACCCGACTGGAATTGGAACTCGATTCTCCGATTTCACCTTCCGAGACATGATCCATTAAATTACTCGCACATCCAGACTTACAGGACGTGGTATTCCCAAGCGGTCAACCATCTATGTACTGACCAGGCTCGACATTGCTTAACACTTAATAATTTCAGGACTTGTCGCAATTAAAGGCTTCTTTCTTTATATCCCTCTCCTGATAATGTTCAAACAATGATGCAAAGCGAATTAAAAAGAAGAAGAAGAAGAAGAAGAAGGTGGAGGAGGTGTTGAAGAAGAAGAAGAAATGGCAATTTACAATATAAATGAACACTTTTTGCAATTATATTAATAATTTTTAATAATAGACCCAAATTAATTGAAACAAAACAAATAATTCCGTTATTATTTAATTTTGTTCATATTTTTCCAATGAAACACGACCCAGTGCACATGTTAGTATTTCGTATGTCCATTCCACGAAGTCGTTCCTTGCAGATTGACCACAGATTCTCAACTGGATTTAAATCAGGAGTGTTCCCGATCTAATTTAATTTGCTCACTGGTAAGGCTTGCCAGTGTGTTCGTGCAGCGTTAAAATATTCGTACTCTTCCTTAGAGTAACGTCTATCGCAGACAATGTTTGCAGGACAAATAATCGACAGTCAAGACAATAGTGTCTGGCTGGGATAAAAATCTGATGCAATCACGGATGTCGCAATATTTTTCAAGGCCCAAAAAATTTCATCATACATCCCGAAAATAGATTCATACTGCTGCACTCCATTGCAAATGAACAAATCTGAGTGAAAATAGAAATCGCTTACACCCTTTCACTCCAATGTCTCTAAAACTGACTGTATGGTGAAAGAAAGGAAACTAAAGCGGTTGTTTCAATTAATTTGCACAAGTGTGTATGCAGTGATGAGGCTTAGTGTTTAAAATGAACAATTGATTTACCCACGATAGAAAGATCAATTAATCATGGTAATAATGAGGAAACATACGGACAATGTTAAGAAAACAAGATAAGGAATTTATTCACGAATTTACACACTTGAAGAAGTGTTTGTCGCTCATCTAGGGAAAATAAATAATTTTTTTTTAAGTCCGCAGTTTTAACGAATTGTCATGAGGTGGAAATGTTCATACAACAGATTAAATGATCTGACACGAAATAATATTCCAAAATGTTTAAAACAAATATAAGAGAGTTTGTTGCCCCTGGAAGGGATATACGCTTCCATACTTTCAAAAGTAGACGAAGAGAGGTAGTTTGAAATACTTAGCTTTCTTGGATTGTTCAGAGAAAATTCTTTGATAATATTATTGGCGAATAATTTTACACTGGCAAGAATTTCAATGCTGGTCAAAGAGAAACTGAAACAAAAACGTTCACATGACTCCAGACAGACTTCTCTTATTAATTCAATTTTTTCTCCTCGTTTTATATCAAAAGAAATTTCGTATGGGCTCGCTACTTTCTTTTCTTTCTTTTCCTAGACTCAACTGCTAATTTCATGCTTTTCATTAGTCCAAAAACAATTTCACATAGGTTCACGAATTTATTTCCACCTTTTTTTCAACTCACTAGTCAATTTACTTGAAAGCAAGATTTTCATTGGTCAAAAAAAAATTCACATAGTCTCGCGAATTGCTTTTCTTTGAAGGGATTGGGAAAAGGAAGTTATTATTTTGTACTCACTACAAATTGATCGGGATAAAGAAGACCAAGAAGGAAGCAATGGGAAATTAAGGCAGACATTACTGCAGGAATAGACCCTATTAAATATATAATATAGAGGTACCGAAGAACATTTCCTATAAAATAATTTGAAAAGATGGAAGAAAGGGATTGTCAATAGTCAGGAATTGTTCACGATTTACATTGTTCGTACTATCGTCCTCATCTTCGTTGCCACATTTATCACAACGTTTCGGCCGTTGTAAGCTCCGACCTTCTTCAGGAAATGTTATATGGGATTTTTGGTTGTTAATTATTATATTCTGTGTAAGCGACATTTAAAGTTATTAATTACTTTTTAAAGATAAAAAATAAAAAAATAAAAAAGAGTAAAATTTTTATAAAGGCCATGTTTCCTTTTTGATTAACTGTGGTTGTTGGGTTAAAATTTAATTTTTCGAAGCCTTTTCTGACTTTTGGACAATGAGGCCATTAGTTTGAAAATTTTCTCATTAGGAGAAAATTTCAAAAAATGTCAAAAAGTTTTCTTGCGCATGATAAGAAGATGAAGTAAAGGAGAAAAGTGAAAGTGAGGAAGACAGAAGTAAGTGAAGTGAGAGAGGGGCATTAGAATGAGAAGAGGAAGACATAGAGATGAAACGAAAGAAAGAAAGAAAGAAAGAAAGAAAGAAAGAAAGAAATAGATAGGACTAAAGATAGAAATACTAAGATGAGAGAGAAAGAAAAAATGTAAAAGAAGCACAGGAAGGAAAATTGCCGAGAGAGAAAATAAAGGAAAGAAAGAAGCAACAAAAGAGAAAAAAAGATAGAGCGAGATAGAGAAAGAGAGAGGGGGTTGAAAGAAAACAGAAAGAAAGAAAAAAGTTTTGGAAGGAGAAGTCGGGAGACAACTAAAAGGAGAGAAGAAATAGCAGAAAAAAAGAAGACTGAAAGAAAGAAAGGATGAAAGAAATGTGCTAAGATGAGAGAGAAACAAAGAGGGTATAAAGAAGCACAGGAAGGAAAGAAAGAAGGAAGGAAGGAAAGAAAGAAAGAAAGAAGCATCAAGAGAGGAAGAGAAAGAAAAAGAGAGATAAATAGAAAGAGAAGAAGAAAATGAAAGAAACAAAGACGTAGCAAAAGGAGGCGGTGAAGACAAAAATAAAGAATAAAAAAAGAGAGAAAGGACATTGATATATTAAATTTGCCGTTTTTTCTTATTCCCAAATTTAATTCGACCAACGTTGTTTTTATTGCTTTGGGTTTTTTTTTCTAGTTTTCTTTTTACATATTGAATGAACGTGTGGGCTTTTATTATTATTGTTTTTTTTTGTTTTGTTTTGTTTTGTTTTTTTTTGCCTTTTTCTTCAAAAATCGATGTATTTAATTCTTGTGGGATTTCCAGGCGAATGACCCAGATTTTGAGGCGGTTTTTAGCTGTGAAAAGGAAAAGATGAAATAGACACGAAGTTGATTAGTAGATTTCAATGGAGATGGAGGAGATGGTGGAAATGGAGACAAGGGAACCAGAAGGTGTGTGTACATATATATATATATATATATATATATATATATATATATATATATATATCAGAAAATGAAATAACAACATTAGGAAGGGAAGAGAAAAAAGCTCGAGAGAAGGGAAGGAGTATTTCTGTCGAAGGAAATAAAGAAGGAACAAAAAGAAAACGAATGATGAAAATCATAGGAACCGAGAAGTGTAAGACGGAAAGAAAGAAACACCAAAGGGAGGACAGAGAGAGAGAGAGAGAGACGTAAAGAGGCAGAGAAAGGAGAGTTGGGGAGAGAAAGAAAAAAGTAGCAGAACAATAAAGAAAGAAAGAAAAAAAGAAGCTAAATAACCAATATGGAAGAGAACGGGAAGGAGAAAGAGGGAAAGAGAAAGAGATGTAAAGCGACACACGAGGGAGAGTTGGAGAGAGAAAGAAAAAATTGTCATAAAAATACAGAATAGAAAGAAAGAAAGAAAGAAAGAAAGAAAGAAAGAAAGAAAGAATGAAGTGCCAAAAGGAGAGAGATAATGAAAGACAGAAAGGGGGGAAAGAGAGAGAGAGTGAGAGCAAGAAGAGGAACGAAGGAGAGTTGGAGAGAGAAAGAAAAAGTGATACCAAAAGAAGAGAGAAAATAGAGAATACAAGAAAGAAGAAAAAAGGAATGAATGATATCAAGATAGATAGATAGATAGATAGATAGATAGATAGATAGATAGATGCCAACTAAGAAAGAAAGAAGAAAAGAAAGTGATAGGCACAGATATCAACAGATCGAGATAGATTGATAGATGCAAACTAAGAAAGAAAGAAACAAAGAAAGAAAAAAAAGCACCAAAGAGAAAGAGAAAGAGAAAGAGAGACTGTGAAAATGTGAGACAGAAAGTGAAAGAGAGATAGAAGCTGTAAAGACTAACGAAGAAGAGCCGGAAAGCACCAAAAGAAAGAAAGAAAGAAAGAAAGAAAGAAAGAAAGAACTAAGAAAGAAGTGTGATCAGAAAATTAATTGATGCAAAGAATGAAAACCAGTCAAGAAAAAACAGAACTATAGAATGAAAGCAAAAGATTAGAAATGCTAATAAGTAAAAAAAAATATTTTTTTAAAAACTAATTAAAAATTATAAAAAACAACAAATATAGAGAAAAATAAGTAATAAAAATCAAATAAAAAAAACCCCAAAGAATCCACTAAAAGAAACGAATGAAACAACGCCTACATTTAGTTTCCAAAAGACGAGTGGTAACTGCTGCAATTTTAAGAATTAAAATGATTTCTTAACATTTGCTGACACTAGAATAGAAGAGATTGTTTAACAAAAGAAACACGAATTTTTCTTCTTAAACCTGCTACTTAGTTTAAGGTAGTAAGGCCTAACTTTACACTTATTCGAAATATTTACTGAATTACAAGGAAATGGGACACATTTTTCAATGTGCAATTATGCAAGAAAATCCATCCCGAAAATCTGACATATTCTTTAAAATACTTTCATTTAAAAAGAAAGTGAAAGAACGAAGAAAAAAAAGACAACTGTTGTGTTTTTTAAAGTAGCGCTTAAGATACTTTCTAATCAGGTTTATTTGAAGAATTGTTATAATTCTTTATGAGAACGGCAAAATCAAGCGGAATGGTCATGGGGTAATGGTAAACAAACCTGTACTTCAGACCATTAATACGGAGCTGTCTTCACCTCAAAAATACTAGCCTTGAACCACGCTTAGTTAAGCTTAATAAGCAGGAACAAAAATTCATCGTGAAAACAAGAATGATCCGTAATTCCGTAACATACCTAAATTAGTTTAATTTAGATTTAAATTTTTCCCTGTATAATCTGTTTGCTTTGATTTGCTTTGATTTACGGTATCTCAACACCTCAATAGGTTATTTAATGCCGACAAAAGTTTTATCGTTGGTAATATATTTTTTTTCAAAAATGTTTTGCTGATAACAATTTTTTTTCCAAAAAATGTATTTCTAATATATTTTTTTCAAAACTGTATTGTTGGTAATTATTTTCAGAAATGGACTGCTGTTATTAAAACATATTTTTACACTTTCATAGTGTTTCGACCCCAGTTTGGGGGTCAGCTATTTATCTATAGCTGGGACCCTAACAGGTGCTACTGCCTCGGGTCAAGGTGAACCTGGGAACACCAGCAATTAAGAGGTGGTTCCACGCTCCTCAAAACTTGATCAGAGACTTTGCTGTTAGATGTAGTTTATCGTCTTACCCAGGATGCCTCTAGGGGGAGGGGGTTCTTACACCTCTGCAAAGGTGTAGTCGTTGTATTCTGAAGCCCCAGCTGACAGGGCGATGTATAATCTGTAATCTATGCAAATGATACTGCGTGACACTATTTAGCGTTTGGCTAACTAATTAAGCGTGAAAATTAAAAGCGAGAAATACTTAAGGCGAGAAGAAGCTATCACAAAAGACATACTGAGCGATGTTATTTTTTTAACAAAAAAAAAGTGGTAAAGATTTTTATTTTCATTTGCGAAGAAAAGTATTTTTTTTTTTTCGCAGAAGATAGGAAATTCGTAAGATCTCGGATCTGTCAGAATTAATTTATGCCATGACGGAATGGTAGAAGATAATCAGAATTGGGTCAAGAATGCGACCGAGAAAAGGATCAGCTGAGATCACCCCAAAGAAAAGGGGAGGAAGAAGAGAAAAACGAAAAGAATAAACCAATAACTATCTTTCGGAGATATCATTTGGTTTTGGAAGAGAACCACGTGTTTTATGTCCAGACCTTGCCATGATAAAAGTTTGTTACCTGGACAGACTGTTGGCGACAGAAGTACGAAGACGTTGAGGGAGACAGGGAGATTCGGTTGACAACCCAGATAATCACTTGGCGAAAATCTCGTTGATGAATCCCAGATGACATCCAGTTAAGATAGAGATTTAATGACCACAGTACGAGTCGTGGGGGTTCTAGTCGGGGAAAAGAAAGAAAAGAAAAAGGAAGATAACTTTTTTTCTTTGAGCGATAATTGTAAACTGAGGCCAGTCTAGCCACACCCACCCACACGTTCATTGGCTGAGTGGTGGCGTGAGCGATGGGCGAAGGTAAACATATGAGAAAGAAAGGAAACATGTTGACGCCCTCTGAGGGGAGGGAGATACCAATAGAAAGAAGAAGGAAATTGTTGACGCCCTCTGAGGTAAGTTCCAATATGAGGAAGGAAGAATTTGGGAGCACAATTCCCTTAAGAACCCCTCTAAAACAGAAAGTAATTGACTTCCAAAAATGGGAAGTGATAAATTTTCCTGTCCGAAAACAAAGAAAATCCTTATTGCGGATTTGGAATTATCGAGGGACCCAAACCACGACAGGCCCCCACCCGGTTTTGGCCGGCGTCCATATAAACGAACGTCCCCAGAGAGACAGTGGCAGTTGGGCAGACGCAGACAGAGTTACAGAGCAGACAGAGTTGAGCTGTGAGCTCGGAGACCAGCCTCGCAGGAGCGGACTGAAAGTTTTCCACGCATTCCGACTTAGACTTCTAACCAAAAACAATTTTTTTTGAAGAACGACTTAGACTCACTCCACCAAAACAAGTTTTACGAATATCGTCTGAAGATACCAAAAACCAGTTTATTGAAAAACAACTTAAGATATTAAGACTCGCCTAAGAAACGCAAAGTGTCACGTATCCATAGAAACGGTTTGGGAGAAAGAAGCAGTCCTGTATTCAGCAACCAGATATAAAGATATTTGTTATTCTTTTTTTAACACATTTGAATCTTTCGAGTTGTTACTTTATTTTCTTTTGCATATACTTGTGCGGTGTCACCTTTGCTCGAATTCGGCTTGCACTACGGCACGACGACTGATTGATTTCGTCTACCTAAGATCAAATCACAACGTGGGTAGGTTAGATTAAAAATCAAAGCAGTTACTTCGGTAACCAGACGTTGGAGGCGAGCTGGGAACGACAAAGCTGATACCGAATCTAACCAGATTTCTATCCGAATTAGCCAAGGGTTAGATCGTCACAGGATAGCACGGGAGAGGTCCAGTGTGACGTCACACTGGCCAATGAATTACGTGCATTGACAAGGAAGAGAAATATGTTGAAGGAGGTAAGAAACGCCTCAAAAAAAAAGTTTATTCACCCTAAGCTATTCTGTTGATAATTATAATTTTGGATATAAATGAGATTTAGGGAAAAACTCAATTATTTCCTGCAATAGAAACATAACCGAGGTATAATTTATTTATAATAGGTAATATAGTTCGAAATATTTAATAATCTATGGGTCCTCATTTATTTTGAATAACCTTTTCAACTCTTTTTGGCATTGAATTGATTAGGCTCTGGTAAATCTCATCCCCAAGCATTGAATTCCATTCGGATATGAAATTCGCAATCAAATCGTCTTTGTGGCTCAACTGCTTTCTCGAGAGCCTGTACTTTATAATACTCAATAAGTTTTCTATGGGGTTGAGGTCAAGAGATTGGGGCGGCCATATCATAACACTCACCTGCTTCTCATCAAAATATCCCTTCATCAATTTTGATTTGTGACAGGGAACATTATCCTGCATAAAAATGAGCTTGGTGGGGTCGATTTGCACCCTTTCAGTAGACAAACTCTAAAATTCTCTTGTACTGTTCGCTCTTGAGGGTCTTTTCAATAGGTTTTAAGAAACCAGTGCCATGAAAAGAAAAAACATCCCCAGAACATTATACTGAACGGATGCTTGACAGTACTTACTGCTAAATTCAAAGAGCTTTCAAAACTTCTTCGGATTTTAGATCGCTTATCCTTTGAATTTAGCTCAACTTTCGTTTCATCGTTTCATTCTTCCAGTCTTCTACGGTGAAATTTTGCTAATAGTGAGTCCATTCAAGTCTCTTGGCTTTGTCGGCTTTGATTATTAGCGGCTCAAATCTTCGTGTACAAGATTTGTAGCCTTGTTCTAACAGCCACCGACGGACTGTTGAAGAGGCAAGACTAACACATTGCTCTTCGCTTAGACTGGCTGCAATTTCTTGGCTAGTTATAGTCCTATTCTTCGCAACTTCTCTCTTGATTACCCTGCCAGTTCTATCATCAATCTTATTCTTTCGTCAACTTGTTTCCTTCCTTGGAGCAGGAGTGGCATCATTATTTGCCCTAAGCACTCGAGAGACAGTTGATTGCGAGGTTACAGCAATTTCTGCAATTTCTCTCGTAGAATTTCCTGCTTTTGAGAGGGCAATAATAGATGCTTTAAGTGGTTCTGAGTGACTATTTCAAGCTGTTTTTATACTGTATGAGGCTTTCTGGAATATTCTGGAATACTCTAAATTTAATTTAAGCTGTTCTAGAATTCTCTAGAATATTGTTCTGAGTGTATTATAAAATACTTTTCAATATTTTGTCAAATGCTCTTTAATTTTACCAATTTAATCATTAGAATGCGATATCTGAGTCACTATATTGCACAGAGTTTTTTCCTGAATCTCAATTATATCCAAATTTATAATTATCAACAGAATACCTTTGGGTGAATAAACTTTTTTCCCTAGGTGGTCGGCAGGTCAACATAATGCCTCATCTCAGAGCTATAGAGGCCGAATCGTTGTGAATATGGCAATAAAGATGAGGATTACAGCACGAATAATATAAATAATGAAAGTAATTGTAATACCGCATCTCAGAGATCCAATCACCTGAAGAAGGCCGGAGCGTAGAAAGGCTGAAACATTGTGAATATGGCACTGAAGATGAGGATAACTGTCCGAATAATGTAAATAATGCAAGTAATCATACCGCATCTCAGAGATCCAATCAACTGAAGAAGGCCGGAGTGTACAACTTATGAAACGTTGTGAATATAGCAATGAAGATGAAGATAACAGTCCGAATAATATAAATATTGCAAGTCATCATAATGCCTCATCTCAGAGCTATAGAGGCCGAAACGTCGTGAATATAGCAATAAAGATGAGGATTACAGCCCGAATGATATAAATAAT